GCCAGAGTTGGCTGTCGGAAAGATTCCATATACTATCCCATAGACTCTTTCAGAGACATAGCCTCCTGTTAGATACCCTCCTGCAGAATTGATACCTTCTGCAGGCGGCCTGGAAGGAAGGAGGAGATGCTCAGTGTGCTAGCTATTAACGCTGATCCCACAGTCACCTACCAGGTAGGTCTCTCTACCGAACACGGGGTGAATGAGAGAGAGAGAGGCCAAGAGGGGTGCAAATGGAGATTCCCCCTCATAAAAAGAAACAGGATGGAGAGGTAAGTGGCACCTCCACATCCCAACAACTTTCGTTGGTCAAAACTATAACACACGAGTACAGGTTCTACAGATCGCGGGCCATGGAGAGATCCAATGTTTTGGCTGATCACTGTTGAGAAGTAGTCTATTTTACGTTTCTCAGTTGAAAAGTTAAAGCTACATGAAGATCATTCCACCCCTACGCTTACACATTAAAATGGCAAAACGACACACGTAATTTCGTTCAAAGGCCAAACATTAAATGATTATAGAAATATACCCTATGTCTCTAACAGGTACTTAAAATACTCATTTCTCTAGAAACACTGAAAACATTCAATGTCAACTATTTAAATGTAAATATAGTGTTCACTTTTTTTTATCTCCACAACATTGCTGTTTTGATGTTGAAATTATTATGTACTCTGTTGTTGAACTTCTCGAGTAACAATAAATGATAAAGCACGTCTCCAATTGATTAAATTTGGCAAATTTTTGAAATTACACGTTTTATTTCTTCAACCTATTAACATCAATCACTGCACAGACAACACGAAAAAGTTGGTTCTCCATTTGTTCACAATTTTTAAGAAAATCACACACTAGATGAATTAAGAGTTTCTGAGCCTAAAAAATAGAAAGGAAGGAAGGAAGGAAGGAAGGAAGGAAGGAAGGAAGGAAGGAAGGAAGGAGAGAAAGAAAGAAAGAAAGAAAGAAAGAAAGAAAGAAAGAAAGAAAGAAAGAAAGAAAGAAAGAAAGAAAGAAAGAAAGAAAGAAAGAGAATTTCTGAGTCTAGAATCTCTCCTTACTCTGGACAGCATTTATGGCACATTAACGTCTATTTCACAAAGAGAAGGAAGATAAGGGGGAAACTCGAACAAATTCCTTGTGTGTTCAATCATAAAAAGGATGCATCAGACAAGAAGACTTACTAGTTCTCCCTTTAAAGACTTATTAAGATGTTCTCTGGAAGAATCCACTAATTAAAATAAGTGATTTCGAGTCTCAGAGAAGTTATGGAACTTCAAACACCCTGCCAATCAAAATAGAAAACATCAATTTGAAATGTGATTTTTACAGTATGATGGGCATTGGGCAACTTGGATGTTACATGTCATCTGAAGATGATATATCGTCTTAAAATGACATTAAGGTTAATAAAAACCTATTTGGAATTTGTGAAATATCTTTTACCCAATTTTATCATAGATCGATGTTAAAGGAGTAAAATTTGGACTAAGGCTCCTGTGTCCTAAATATTAGTGCTGAAAATAAAATCAGGATTACATATTTCTCTCTAATGAGTAAAAACAATTTTCTTATTATCAGTTTACATTAAGTAAATAACATACTACCTCTTATCAACCAATGAATTTTGCTAGCCTAATGCACCTTTTAATTTAAATCCATTTTATTAAGATTACGTTTAAGCTTGATGTAGACCAACAGTATTTGTTTTTATATTTATTATATATTTAGTACTTAATCCAACTTTTTGAAAGATACCCTTTGTAGCATGGTATGTGAATCGAGGGGAGAGAAAATAGACTGATATATTATTATTTTGATATTGTTTTATTACTTGAAATAATTGCTCATGAAAAGATCTATTATAAACTTGTAGGCAAGTTAGACTCCTTGAAAGCCATGTTACAAAATATATAAGTATATATTTTATATACAGCAAATATATAATATAATCCCATATTAAATAATATATTATATAATATGCATTTAAAGTATTTTACCTAATATATTTGTGTGTATATTAATATATATGTTTATGTATGTTTAAATAAGTAAAGATATTTGTTAGAAAGTAACTAATCAGCTGAAGACTCATTTCTCAAATGTAACAAATGTCAGTGAACTTATACTTTAATAGGTATACAATTTAAGGTAAAGTGACCTGAATCAGAAAGCACTATTTAAGCCAAAATTGAGTATGCTTTAAGAATACATTAAAGTCATTAAAGGCTGACTCGAATTCCTCATCACTCAGAACTGCACTATCAGGTTCTTTCAAATATATTCAAATAGATGCAACTCCCTTAGAGAAAACATGCTACTTAAACTTTTCGTACGTGATCCCAGGCACTGACATTTGCAACACGGGAGGTTAAATGCCTATGAGACCATCAGCTCAGCAGTGCCGCTTTTCCCTCCCTGTCAGGAAATTAGACTCCGTTTCCACTTAACCCTAGAGATGAGATTACTTAAAGTTACTTTGGACTAGTTGTCAAAAACACAGTATTAACAGTAATACCATTTTATATACATTTCAATAACAGAGAAGAAGAAATAAGCCAAAAGCAAGTATATATTTGAAATGGCACTGAAGTGAAAAATATATATATATATATTAACTGTATCTTCTAAGAATGTCTATCATATTAAAAAGTTATTTGGGGACAGAAAGATTGAGCATAATCATCATATTTTGAAAAGTGTACCAAATAAAAATGTTGCTTTGAGATTTCCAGACTACTTTTTGTCTTGGGATGACCTCTCCTGGCTGAGTTGTTCATTATCTCACATTTTTCTCCTTTGAATGATTTTAGTATTAAAAATATAGCTATCATTCTTCTACAGCTATATATAGTATAAATAAAATGTGCCATAAAGTATAAAAATAGAACATTAAAGTACTAAACACCTGAAGTTCATCCTAATCATTTAAGTCTACATCATTCTTATCATTTCATTCATTTCCAGGATTTGGGGAGATTTTGGGTTTTGGTCCCACAATTTAAGTTCAAATGAAGTAAAAAGTTATCTTAATTAGGCCCTTATGCATTTTTAGATAATTAAGAATAAAAGCTACATAAATGCATTTGCATAACCAAACATAACTGTTACTTATCTGAAGAGGAACAGTCTCTGCTCTTCCCTAGCTCCAATTTCTAAGTTGAAAACACTAGGAACATATTTCTGACATGACAACTTCTCCGTTCTTAACACTGTCCGGACCCAGTGGCTGCCTGCACACCAGGCCCGACACAGGGCGAATGTCTCAGACGGACCCGCTGTCATTACAGTGCACAGAAAGACGAAACACATAACCCAGGAAAAACCCTGGAGATGAGCGCCTTCCATCAGGGCCTGCAATAAACTTCCATTAAAAGTTTATTTTCATAGAAAAGTGGCCGTGAGGTCTACAGCCCCAGACCCTGAGATGCAAACGGAAACCTCAGCAAAATTAATGTCCTCAGGAGGTAGTTAGATATTTATGTAAATAAGAATGTGCCAAGCATTATGTCTTCCCAGTTTCTGTTTAAATCTATAAATTGACATAAAATATTAATGCCATGTCGCTTTTTAGGTGTAATCAGTTTGGTGGGGGGAAAAAAAACTATATAATGTTCTTCCAGTTCCTTACAAACTTAGATTGCCATTGAGTAGCTTCCTTATCTTTAATTGCAAGAAAAGCAAAGCAAATACTGTGTTTGGGAAAACATCTCAAAACCAATACTGGTTCCTTATATAATATTATGCAGCAGCTCAGCACACCTTAGAAAAGTCATTTTCAACACTGACTCTTATTAATATGCACACACTGGAACGATAACGTTAATAGTAAACGTACAGACACAGGTGCAGGAACTCAACCCAGGATCTTGTAAACAGAGATGGGGCTATTTCACATAGGATGAATTCTGGAAAACACTCAACTTTTTTTTTTTCTAAATGGAAAACACGTACTTTCACACTTGACCATCCTCCTGATTACTGTTTAACACCTTGCTCATTCTCACCAACAAGTCTGCGCCCATGAACCGTATGCTGAGGTTGCTACAATCTCAGCAGCGTTTAACTCTTCCTGAACCCGGAAGCCAGCACCCACTGCCTCTGGAGATCCCAGTCGCACTTCCCAAGCAAATGCAGAAGAAGGGCTAGAATCTTCCACGTCTTTCCAACCTCATGAAAACATGGTGATATTTTTTTTAAAGCGGAATAAAACACACGGAGATAAACATATGGAACAGCATCATTTTCCTGAACTCCTAAGAAATCTGTTCATGGCACTGACGGTCCCAAGTCCTGGGCTGCAGTATTGCAAGAATTTAAGCAATGCCAAAGAATTTTTAAGCAATTTTCCGTGACAATATTGGATCCACTGTCTCCACTTCAAGAAGCAAATGCTAAGGGGTCATTAACTTGCTGTGGGAGGTCTCAAGACAAGTCCCTAGGTGTCCAAACCGCTCAAAATACGCGATGTTTCACCCCCCAAATACGTGCTCACTTAAGTTGAAACCATAAATAAAAATAAGAAACTTATTTCTTCCGTAGTCTTGACTTTTCGGTCACTGACGTATCGAAGCAAAATACCATGAACTCCCTTCACACACACACACACACACACACACACACACACACACACACACTCGCTCACTCGCTCCCGAAGTGGAGGAATAACTCCCAAGAAGCTGTCACCTTCACAAATCACTCTGACCAAACAGTTGCCAACCCGTCTATCTCCACGACCAGGCGCAACTTTCCAGAAACATCGCCAGCGTCAAAACCCTCTGCCCTGGCCCAGGAGAGCGGGGTTAGGAGTTTGCCTGCTGCAGTGGCTGGCTGCAAGTGCGTGACAGGGGAGACACACACACACACACACACACACACACACACACACACCCGGGGACCAGCACCGCCAATGCACCTCAGAGTGGGGACCGACGCGGGTGGCACCTCAATGCGGCACGGACGCGGCTCCGGCGCGGCGCGAGCCCGCGGAGGGTACTTACGGGACGCGGAGGGGGCCGTCCAGCCTCTGCAGAGGACGCAGCCGACGAGCCAGAGCCACAGCGCTGCCAGCATCCTTCGCCTCCCGGCTCGCGGTACTCCGAAAGCTCGCTGCGGAAGGGCGCCGTCCGCCTCTCCGGGGGTGGTTCTCGCAGGGAGGCGGGCTGTCCTCAGACCCCAGAGCACGCCCAGCCCCTCCCGCCGCCTCCGCTCCAGGCTCCAGTCCAGCCAGGCTCCGAGCAGCGGGGAGTCGCGGCTTCGTCCTCCCGCGCGCCGGGCTGGCCTTTGCGCGGCGCGCCCGAGAAATGCCAGGGAGAAGAAATTCACACGGAGCAGGAAAGGGAGGGGAGCCTGGGAGGGGACGCCTACCCCGCCCTCTGCCTCCGAGGGGGCGGAAAATGACCAAAGGACGCGGAGGCAAATCCGAAGAGTGCAGGATGCCGGAAAAAAAAACACACACACACACCAAAAAAATATAATAATAATAAAAAAAATAAGAGTCGCGCTCCGGGGACGGAGGGGCTGCTGCTGGTGGCACTGGGAACGAGCGCGCCCCTCGCCACTGGGCAGCGGGACTCCGAGCGGGGGGCAGCCGCCAGTCAGCTCGGCTCACTTGGAGAGACCCGGCCGGGGACGCAGCCGGCGGCGCGGCGCACGCACGGCCTCAGCGCGGCGCGGCGCGGGGCAGCATCTCCCGCTGGAGCAGCCGAGCGGCGGCGGGTGGAGCGCAGGAGATGCTGCCGCCAGCAGCGCCTGCAAACCCGGCGGCGGCGGGCGAGGCGGGGAGCCCTCCCTCCCCCTCCGGGCTCCAGTCTCCTCCCCGGCTCCTCCTCCTCCTCCAGCCCCTCTCGCTCCTTAGCGTCCCCCCGCCTGCACCCTCCCGCTGGCAGAGCCCAACAGCCCAGCCCTCGCCGCCGCGTCGGCCAGCGCGCGGAGCGGGCACCCACCAGCCGGCGTCCTCGGCCGAGTCAGGGGCCCAGGTAGGAGGCGCGCGCCCCTCCCCGGGCGGGGGGCGGTGCTGAAGTTGGGAATTAGCTGGGCAGTCTTGGCACCCCGGCGGCCCCACCGACACGCCCCGCCGAGGCCCGGGAACCAGAATCCCTGGGCTCGGGCGCCTTCCCTCGGCCTTCTCTCCTCCCCTTCACACGGAGATGGTACAGGCTCCCCGAGCCCCGGCCCCCCGGGATCCACAGTCAGGCGTCCGGCAGGCAGGTCTGCCGACCGGTCCTCACGGCGAGTGACAGGCGCGGAGCCTCCGGCCTGGGGCAGCGGGGACTGCGGACGCCCCTAATGCAGATGTTTTCGAGATGTAATTAACGCGCACTCGTGCGCACGGACACGCCACACGCCGTCGCTGCCTGGAAAACTACCTTCAGGTAAACACGCACAAACGCAAAACTGAAATAAACAGGCAGGCATACGGATCACCGCCCTGGGGTCCCTGACGCGGGACTAGTACCACGGATTACCAATAGGTAGAGACACCCAGATTTCCTATTCCCATCTAGCTATTTTCCCTAATAAACCCCACGCTCTTCTCCCCAGCTCACACCTGTCCACGCTCCAGCCCCCATACAGTTTCCTTCCGCCCAGGCTGCACAAAGTACTTGGATTCTTTCCTCTCTGCAGAACCCATCCTTTCCCTGACTTGACTGACACGGGTAGGAATTACTGGCCGCGGAACTACCTAAGGATGTTGAGGGACAGCGAAGTAGGAGTAACCGTGCCTTTCAGCATTATGCAATGAATAAGCACTTGCCTTGCAAGATAAATACCATTTTTTACAGATGCTTGCCTACTCCTCCTGGGCGAGACTCTCTGAGTTGAATGTTCTGCTTAGGTCTCAGAAAGCGCCACTCTCCACGGCCCCGTGCCGTTCACTGCGTCATTAGGACGGTGGTGATGGGCCTGATTCAGCATTCTTTATTAGAGCTTTGTTTCTCGTGGATTTGAAGGGATGTTTTGTCCTGGAAGGAACTGCCGATTGGGTACAATCTGGAAAATGGAGAAGCGCAGCTGACTAAGAGGAAAGAAACACCGCGTCCTCCTGCTGGAGAATTCGCCTGTTGTGCAGCCGTGCAGTCAAGACAGTCCTGTGGGTCATCAGAGGCCCCCTTTTTCTTTATTAGAATTCCCACAGCTCGTCAAAAGTCGATGAACACTTTCGAAAGCACGCTGGTGCTGCCAACTGTTGGTTAGACCTCCGAGGAACCACCGTTAGGGGGGAAAATACACTGCGAGAAAGCGCACCTTTTCAGAAGCCAATCAGTTGTGTCGGCTCTTAAGCATTGCAGTCAACTCCGCTAAGGTGGCACCAAAGTGTTTGAATAGAAGACTAAGAGAGCAAAGAGTTGAAAGTGTCACAATTTCAGTGCCACAATGCATGGCATTCCATTGGTACCTCAGTTACATCTGAAATGATTTTACCTCTTAGCGTCTGTCCTAAGCAAAAGGAGCTGGCAGTGTTACCTTTTTGTTTTGTCACAGAAAATGACACACCTAAAGGGTTTTTTTTTTCCCCTCTCTGAAAAAGCATTTCTGACCACTTTGTAACCATCTATTTTAATGAGTAAAACCACAACAAAATGCGTTTCAGTGACACATGGGTGGGTAAACAGCCTACAGCAGCACCGCTGTGCAGGACGGCCTGACTCCATGCCGTTTTCCGTGCGTTTAGCCAGGTCTGAAACGATGCCCCATTCTCGGTACTGTTACAACCTTTGCTTCAGTTAGTGTTCATTGGCTACGGACTTCGGATTCACAACATACTGAGAGAAATAGGACCTCAATAGTGGGCAGGATCTGATCCTTCTTAGGTTCCAATGCTGCCTTCTCCCTATCCAATTCACCATTTTCATCCTTAGATATGAGAGTTAAGAAGCTTCTTTTTTACTTCAATGATAACTCGAACTAATAGTGACAAGAGAGGAACTACTAAACCTGTTTAAACTGGTCAACCTTCAAGCTCCTGTAAAACTGATAAGCTAATCGGTGGACTCATAATAATAGTCCTACCAGGCGTCTGTTAGCTATGGTCAGCAGGGGCTGTCCTGTCCCAGAGCATGCATTCATTACACGTACAGTATGTTGTATTTGCAAGAAGTCGAAGACAGCATATGATGACCTCAAATGTGTTTCCTTAGGTGGATACAAAGTTAGTCGAAGCGTGAGAAGGGATAGTAAGTCCAAGAGAACCAACGGCACACAAAGAGAAAATGAAAGCATGGTGGGGGAAAAAGGATGGGCAAATTGATTGTTCAGAACACCCCGCATTTGGGAATGAGTGATTGCTTCATTGGCAATATGTTCAGTGTTCATTTGCATCTCCAATATTGGTTGAGAACTTCCTGTGATTGAACTGGACATTGTGCTGGATACTGAGCAAGGCAGATACCACCTTTGACCTCAGAGCTCGGGGGCAAACCATTGAATAAAGAGATCAAAATAACTTGGCATCGCCTTCACACCAGTACCCATTCAAGTAAATGTCAACTGGGTAATTATTCTAGTATCTTCCTACAGAGTGGAGCAAAAATAGGCTTACAGTTGTTCATGTGGAAAATAATGCAATAATTAATAAACAATATAAGAATAAACTGTTTTGCATATTCCCAGCTGTAAACCTGGCTGTGCCCCATGCTGTATGTTCTTGAAAAATGAATACCATCAAAATAGAAAATATATCCTTCTCATCATTGTCATTTCAGAGGTCTGTGAATAATCTGACATATGGCAAATTGTCTCAAGAGTCTTCTCCAAAGTTTGGAACTTAAATGACAAAAAGAGTAAAAGTATATTGGATTTTAATAACACTTTGAAGTGACGAAATATTGGAAGAAGCACTGAATAAATTTAGTAAGTACAGAAACATTGGTATGTCCCAGGGGAGGTCCTTGGAATGGAATTTCCTCCTGGAAAGTAAGCTGTTCAACTGTGTCCAGAAATCAGTCAAGACCCTTCGAAAATGTTTCTAGAACAGAAACCCTTGCAGTCCAATTGCACATTCCAAGAAGACGAAACTCTCTGGAAATATTTCTTGAGAAATGATTCATATTGACATGGTGTGATATGAATGGGAAAGGGTATAGTTAGAAGAAAATTGGTCACCATGCCTGTGTGAAATATCTTGGAAATGAACAACCGAGTTCAGAGAATTAAAAAGGAGATGGCTAAGCCAACTCGTACTGTTTAGAACAGAGACGCTGATCTCATTCTTCATTGCATTCTTCACTTTCTGGACACCCAAATTTTCTCTTGACAGCAGTGTACCCTGCATACAAATGGACCACGTAACTCAGAATACTTGCTCATTCAGAACTGCAGTTAAAAAGTACTTGTTACAGACCCTGGCTGGCGTAGCTCAGTGGATTGAGCACGGGCTGTGAACCAAAGTGTCGCAGGTTTGATTCCCAGCCAGGGTACATGGCCACAACCCCCAGCAACCACACATTGATGTTTCTCTCTCTCTCTCTATCTCCCTCTTTTCCCTCTCTAACAATAAATAAATAAAATCTTTTTTTTAAAAAAAAGTACTTGTTACCTACTGTGGCATTTCAGAGCTTTGGCTCTCACAAATCTAACCATACAACTTACATAGTGGTTACTTTAAAAAAAATACCTCATTATGTGACTATCTCAGAGATTAAGGAAAATATTATTTGAAGTTTAATGGCACCAGATAACATCCCAAGCCCAATCTAGGTATTAGATTGAATTAGTAGCCAAGTTAGACCAAAGAATATAATGTAGCAAACAGGTCATATCATTTGGGGGGGATCTGGGTCTTCGAAGTATGAAACAGGCAAGCAAAAGGAAAAAAGAGACGCTTATCATTTATAGTGTAGGGGTTGACATCACTGATTGGAAAATAAGATTGCTGAGAATGTTCTTTTCACTCCACCGGAAACCCAGGTTGAATTAAATCTCTCTACAACGTACTTCTGTGTGTCCCCAGTTGCCATTAGTGAAGCTACTGAGTGAAGCAGACTTGGAGGTCATAATTATTCCCGAAACATTTTAAGCTAGTTTGCACAGTTACTGCCAAAACATTTACGGCTAGATTCTATAGTCCATAGTATTCTTGATTTCCCACAAGGACACAGAGCCCCATCAGGCAGGAAATGGTAAGGCCTCTTTTACTTGTGCGGAGTTGAAGGACAATATGGAACCTGTGGATGTCTTTTGTATCACCTGCATAGAACCAAGAGTCAATTCTATTGCAGTTTGATTCATGTAATGATTTTAAAATGAATTTGAGACATGGCTTTCACTGCATGCTTCAGTATAAACATGGTTAATTGTTCCTTTTAAGGTGTTTTTCACTTGAATATATAAATATTCAAGCTCAATTATAGCAATTCTACCAACAATCAGGTATATGTGGTATTATAATTGAATGACACTCAAGGTAGTTTATGTGATAATATAATAATTAATGATCTCTTGCTCTGTTGAACTTTCTGCTTGATTAGCATTTAGCCAGGAATGAGGAGGAGACTGGGAAAATGGTTTTTTGCATTTATATCTTGTACAACAATTTTTGTAGTATGTTGAGTAGACATACATAATTGAATCTTTCCTTGATAATGCAGTTCTCATTTTAACTACACACACTACAATTGAATATATGAGATTGGAATTTTCTGATTCCAGAGTTAGTGTTATCTTCTTTCACATTTTTTTCTGACCTTCCCTTCTTCTTAAATGCCTAAGAGCCCACACA